TGACCTGACAATATCCTACGGGAACAGTGGGCCAGGCCGTCTTCACTTTCCTCCGTCTTCTATGGGCCGTCTGCTGCAAGCCGTGCAGTCTCCCGCTTGCAGCTAATTATTTATGCTCTGACGCGGATCTTACTTAAAACATATATTGACAAACCCTCATATAACTAACTGTGGCTCAGCGCTAGTCCCTGTTTCCAGTGTTTCCAGTAAAGGAGTCCTCGACTATAGCAGAGAAACGCCGTGAGCTGCAGTGTGGTCCCAAGATTTAAGGAACGAGCTTTCCAAAAGATGCTGGCTTCCCCAGCCATACCCAGGCATCCTGAGCACAGCGGCCTAACTAACGGCTGGTGGCGGGTGAGAGTGGGGGGGGCATGAAATGCATAGCACCTTGCTACAACTAGTGGTACGAGGCGACCCTATGTGCGAGCACCACTTTTCTGCATGAAGTGGAATTGTTGACAACTTTTTTTGTTACGTGGCCCTGGCTAGGCAGCCTGCACTCCACCAGAACTGTATGTCCCAGTTTCGGCAGACCATGCTACATCTGCTCCTCTTGCACACGCTTCCCCTCAAACAGGGGAGACGCCCTCGTATGCCTGGTCGCGCAGCAAAGGATGGGCTAGCAGGCTGCACATCACCGCGTTTGTTCCCAGCGGACGTTTGTGGTTCAACCCTACTGACAAAGCAGACGCTTTGCGGAGGCCCCTGCGAATGCTCGCCTGGCGTGTCAGTGGCACCTTCACAAAAGAAACTCAACTAATATCATGTGCCTCACTGGGCTGCCTACATGCACTGTTCTGTCCTAGCACAGAGACACCAGCTACTGAAGACTCAGACTGAATCCATTCCCCGTCTCAGATGCATTGGCTGCGGCATGCGCTTACCTTGATTTGTTTACTATACAGTTGGGGCAACTTCAGAAGCTACGGGAAACCACCATACGAAGCCAAGGGAAACCAACATCAGAAGCCAGCAGCCCGACAATTCTTCGAGCAAATGCAGCATGCTCAGTAGGCGTTACAGAGATTGCCCTGGCGAAAAGAAGAGTAGCGGCAATCTCCTTCACCAGCGTTGAGGTGAAATGACCCGGGCTCCTTCCCCAGGTGGCTTCCGCTGTATTCCCCGTGTAGTATTGTCAGACACGTGTGTTTAGCGCCCCAAGACGCAGTCGCTCAGCACTCCAGCCTAGTTGCTTCTGTTGTTTAATGATACCAAAGGTGTCTAATTCAGTGATTGTCACTGTCTAGATGCTGCGTAGTGCTTGCAACAAAGGCAGAAATCCCCGCTTCAGTGCATCTTTGCAACTATGCGCAAAGCATTGCTATTGACGTACTATGCATCCAGATCCATATTTACAGGTCTTTTCGTTGAACATAGGCGCTTGGGGCAGTGGAAGGATGACGCGTGGAAGGTCCAGCGGCTGCACCGGCGGCGTTGACAATATTTACCCCCCGCCCTGCCTTTAAACGTGGAAGTATCTACAACGAAAAGCCAATGCAAACATTAACGCAGCTATGATGGATTGAGCAAGGGCGTCCGTAGTGAAGTCATTCGGTGTGTCGGGTACCCGCTGAGAGCGAGCTTGTCCATAAGTCAGGGTACCGTTGTGTAATTGATCGATTGTATTGGTGCTTCTTGAACTATGTGGCATTTGCACGCACGACCTTGCAAATTTAGATTTGAGATGTGCTGCTGAAGATCACAGCGAACACTTTTGGAGGCACATCGCACATTTGTGGGATTTTGACCAGCAGCAGCGTGGGACGCACCTCGTGAAGTTACACTGTTCGTAAACATGTTGCCGAAAGCTGTCCTCCAACAAGAACACTTTTTCGAGAAAGAACTGCATGAACCTCCGGCCTTTTCAAGAATATTTCTGAGTGACGGAGAGCTGAGCGGAGCCATCGTGGCACAACGCTATGGGCTCCGAGACACCGGTACAAGCAGGACACACTCGAAACGGCCCAGCCAGAGACATCTCGCCCCTTTGGTGCTAGCATCCATTGTTTCGCTCGTGACGATTTTAACCCTCGTGGCCGTATGCCACGTACCCAACAAGAGAGAAACTCATGGAGGGCTGACTCGTCGCGATCTGTCCGGGCATGAAGCTGAACTCTCTGGGATACTAGACCAGTGCCTGGAGCTGACAGAGGAACTAGGTATTCCTCAAACGAATGAAGTGTTTGGTGGGAGGAATTTGGAGGTGGATCCAGCGAGGAGGATAGCTCAGCTTGCCACCATGCTATCCGATTCGGCAATACGGTTTCAACAAGAAAAGGGCTTTAACCAAGTGGCTCCCTCCAATAACGTCTCTGGTCCGTTATACAGCACTGCAGGGAGAACTGATCTGGCACCAAGTGATACAGGTTGT